CCGTTCCTGCCCACTGCCACAGATATGGTACTCCCTGACTCACAAGTAGGACAAACAGCAGTTTCATGGCGTTGTAATCAGAAAATCAGGGCAAGCTTTAAAGATGAGCCAACACCAATCTGTCTACTTGAGAATGTCAGTTTCTGGATGACAGACTCATAGGTTAACTGCTGCTTGATCATCACTTGTGGTCACCACTCCAGATGGGGAAGAAAGTCAACATCTGATTTTTCCCTCTGGCAAACAAGGTCCCTAAAAATCACAAAGCCTGCCTGTAATGGGCAGCATTCACCTCTTGAGACTCTCTGAGCTGCTACATATGGTACTATAGTCCTCTTCTTGTCCCTGGTGCCCCTTGCAGGCTGCCAACTGACCTTTGAGAGTTTTCTATGGTTTGGGCAACTGACTAAGTCACAAAGTCCAAAATGAACCTCTTCTGGGCTATGAGAAAGTCCCCAAAATAACAGCCTATTTGCTCTCATTGGGATCTTCAACCCTGTCTGAGCCCTTACCTTTGGCCTTTTGTTCTGGCTCCAGTATAAGGCCTGTATCCTACCTGGAATTTATGCTACTTTACCTGTGGCTGGCTCATGAAACTGTACCTGCCCACTATTCCGGGTTCCAACCCATGGCCACATAAATGGAATCTATACACCACTTGATTTCAGTTCATTGCTGTTTCTTCCCTGGCCCTCCTTCTATCTGGCATCATTTATTTTCATCCCTATCACAGAATTAAATCCTCTCTCTGCACGACCAACTTAAGAAAATGCAGCCGGAAACACAATGGTTGTCTGTCAAGCCTTGTTGACCAGAGAGGAGCACCCGTCCTCTCCTGGAACTGAACTGCTAAGGTCCCAAGCTCCTTTTATTGGAGCCTGCTGGGCTCTGACTGGCTGTCTTCCTAAGCAGTCGTACACAACAACCTTCAGAGTATGGTGTAGTAAGTCTTTAGAGCTTCCTGTATGGAGCTGCGAAGGCCAGGTTCAACCAGCCACACTGTCTTATATATTAACTCTAAAAGCAGCTTCTGTGCCTTTGTGATGGGCTACATTTTATATCCACGGAAATGTGCACATAAACCAAAAATGAAATGCCCAGTTTGATGGCATATAAATACGAGAAAGACCTATATAAGAGCCTAAAGTCCCTGCCTTAGGTCTTACAGAGCACAGCCAAATGAATGAAGTTCATGTGCTAAAGTGGCTCAAGGAAGAGCTCTGTGAAGCTTGAAAACTGTCCCTTCCACCAAAAGACACTGGAACTCTACATTGTCTCTTTTAAATCCACTCACATTCTCCATGAAGGAGAAGGCAACACATCTAACAGAAAAGAGTGACTCCAACTTCTAAAGAACACTGTGGTTATAGACTAGCTCAAGAAGGCCAGGTAGTGATTTTATGAGAATGAAGCAGCATGGGAAAACTGCTTTTAGTGTAGCATAACTTCTCTGTAAATAGCTTTGTAAATAGGGCCTGAACTATAGTACTTACATACTGCCAGCTGTTCCGTATAAGTACAGCAGTCGTGTGTAGGCATGTATTTATTCACAGGCTTTTCTACAGTATGTAGCAACATAGAATCTCAGCACTTCAGAACAATAAAGCATTTTTTAGCCTCACAACACGTAAGCTTGTGAAATATTATTGCCTCTGTTTTCAAGTGGGCAAACAAAAGTTCAAGGAAGTTGCAACTTTTCCAAGCTCACATGGGTAATCTGAACCGAGAACAGAGTGTAGGTCCCATGACTCCCATCCTCTAACTTAACATGACCTCTGGACACTATCTGTAGATGTTCAGAATGTTGACAAATATGAAGTGACATTAATAACAATGTGTGTGACAATATTTGGTACTGCTGTCAGTGTGTTATAACAAAGTGTGTGATTGCAATGCATTCTAAAATTCACTACATTTTTTATGGAAGTGTATTTTTGTCAAATTAGTACTTCATTTCACAGACAACACTTTCAATCATGCCTATATTCTTTAAAATTATCTTTAAATTCCATTGTTTCTTACATGTGCACACATACACACACAAATTGACAGTGGTCGTTCTCTTCTAGCTGAGCAATCAGCTGGGCCTTGGTTGCTTTCTGCACAGGCAAGCCCCTCTCTCTGCACAGCCCCACCAGCTCTGCCTTCAAGAGTCGGGCGTAGGCCATCTGCCCGCTGGGCCCCTCGGTGCAGACTCACCAGTCTAGTGCTGCAGCGCCCCACGATTCCCAGGAACCGCTTCGCTCTGTCTCCAGCACGCCTGGCTCCAGGGCTCTGGCTTCTACTGCGCCTTGTCGCTTGCCGCTGGGAGCTTCATCCACGGGGTGCAGTGCATCCCACTCCTGACACCAGTGTGACGGCGCGTTGGGGGTTCCCCGTCTCCTGCACCCCGAAATGGCACAAACAGACTGTACCAGCCAGTGGAATTGAGGCTGGGTTA